CCTTCCGCATGGCCAGAAAGACCTAAATTACACAACTGAAATTATTATGATTTCTTCAGTTCTTTGCACTAGGGGTGTAGAGACTTCAAGGACTTAAGGGAAATTCTCACTTTAAAATAAACACACAATAAACAATGTGGCTGCAGTTTTGCCAGATAGTTCTTCTGGCAAAGAAAGTGGGGGGCTTTGGCCTATTTCCCCCTGGAGTACTTTCCGGCAAACATCAGCATCTTCTATGAGCAAACGATAAATGCTGAGCGTCCACTGTGCCGGGGAAGTTGGTGACAGACTCAGCGTGGCCCCCGGCCCTCAGAGAGGGGCCGTCTACCTGGAGAGACAGATGACAAATGTGAAACAACTTAGAGAAAACTAAGGGGTCACTCCACAGTGCTCATGGCCGGGCCCCCGCGTTATAAAGGCCATTCTAGCAATGACATTGAGAGTGTGTTTTTTTTGTTTTTTAGAGAAGTTTTCCTGCATTCATAGAATTTGATCAATAATACAGAAAAGATTAGAGTTGCATATTCTGGTAAAATTAGATCGGCATGTTTCCCCAATTGTATGATAAATGCTCTGCTCTACAAATATAATCTAAATAAAAAGTATGCATTGGGCTTTAATTTGATGGAAGGCAATATTAATGGATAGATTTAAACTGAACTTGTCCCTACCCCAAAAATGCTGCATATCCACAGATTTCAACTTCTCACCATACTTTTTATGTGTTGGGAGAAGCTACTTTTGGCACACAAATGCCCTTCTCTGTGCTTCACAAATAACTGTATTCAGGGACACAAAGCCCAACTGTTGTAAAAATATTAGTATTCAGATGCTCTTGTGTTTTGTTAATGCATTTCATTATGTACAATATAGCTATTGTTTTCCTCTCACATTTGCATTAATTTATATTAGCTAGAGAATAAAGAGCACAGCTACAAAACCAGACTGTAATTATTTCTGTTGCTCTTGCAACCTATAAATAAGCATTGCATCCCTGCAGGGACTACAGCCTTGTACCTGCCAAGGTGTTCTTCACGTTGCTTTTTTCAGACACTCCGATGCAGTGATGTATTTATTCAGTGAACATGCTGTAAATCTTAGTGTTCTCATGTAGTTGAATGTACCGGTGGTCATGAAAGAATGTCACCACCAAAGGCTCCCACCCCAGCCTGTCCCATCATTCCTGCACTTGTTCTGGGTCTGTGCCCTGTTTCTCAGGCGCAGAGCATGGCAGGATCGGATGCGCCCGGCAGCTGTGTGCACCCTGCTCGTGCGTGAATAGGACCAGGGTGACCTGGGTTCCTAACGTTTTCGTTTTACTTTGACATCGGCAAACGTCCATAATGTACGTGGGGAGTAAGTTGATCTGCCTTGGAATGCAAGCTCTGTATCGCTGCACAATAAATGTCATTTATGGAGCAGTTTCTTAACCCATGTGATTTCGAGGAAAGAAATCGACAGGGTTGGAACACGGTTTCTTTTGTTGCATGTATTTGTGGAAGTGTGTGTTGTGCATATACGAACTTCCACATGTGCATGTACCAAAAGGAAAATGACCCCCGGCCCCTCCTCGTGTGCCGCTGTCCCCTAGAACTGGTGTCCTGCCCTCTGCACGGCCCCCAGGGACCTTGGTATCTAAGGAGCCCGTGTGACTGTGTGTTTTCAGACAAATCCAAAACGCAGATCATTTCAATAAGACACAGACAGCTTGAGAAACATTGAGAGATAAAGAAACTACGTTCGAGTCGAAGTCCTGATGGTGGCTTAAAACTGGAAGGTGCTTTTCACATGTGCTGTTTCATTCCAGCGTCCCCAGGGTCGCAGCCTGGCGGCTGGTGGGCTGTCGTCTTGACTTAGTGCACAGGCCTGCTAGCGCGTGAGGCAACTGCATGCCACATCTGAAGTCTTTACTAGAACTGCTGATTAGGACGCAGAGGATCTGGTTCCAGTCTGATGGCGCTCTGCCTGTGTGTGCATGTGTGTGTGCATGTGTGTGCATGCTCTGCCTGTGTGTGTGCATGTGTATGTGTGCTCTGCCTGTGTGTGTGCATGTGTGTGTGTGCTCTGCCTGTGTGTGTGTGCCCTCTGCCCGTTGTGTGCATGTGTGCATGTGTGTGCATGCTCTGCTTGTGTGCATGTGTATGCATGCTCTGCCTGTGTGTGTGCATGTGTATGTGTGTTCTGCCTGTGTGTGCATATGTATGTGTACTCTGCCTGTGTGTGTGTGCATGTGTGTGCATGCTCTGCCTGTGTGTGTGCATGTGTATGTGTGCTCTGCCTGTGTGTGTGCAAGTATATGTATGCTCTGCCTGTGTGTGTGCATGTGTATGCGTGCTCTGCCTGTGTGTGCATGTGTGTGTGAGCATGTGTATGCATGCTCTGCCTGTGCATGTGTGTGTGTGTGTGTGTGTGCACTCTGCCTGTGTGTGCGTATGTGTGCATGTGTGTGCATGCTCTGCCTGTGTGTGTGCATGTGTATGCATGCTCTGCCTGTGTGTGTGCATGTGTGTGTGCTCTGCCTGTGTGTGCATATGTATGTGTACTCTGCCTGTGTGAGTGTGCATGTGTGTGCATGCTCTGCCTGTGTGTGTGTGCATGTGTGTGTGCATGGTGTGTGCATGTGTGTTCATGCTCTGTGTGTGCATGTGTATATGTGTGCACATGTGTGGGTGCACATGAGGGAGAGGAGTCGCCCAGCCTCTTGGAGCCCACACTTAGCTCTTGGGGCAAATGCTTCCGCCCTGCCCGCCCGAGAGCGCTGTGAAGGGCGAGTGCGGGCGGCCACCCCGAGGCCTCTCCACGGAGCCACCCTCGAGTTGCCAACGCCAACCTTTTCGCAAGTGTGAACGTTGGAGAACACTCTCCTAGGGCATAAAGTTCTTTCCAACGTTCAACAACTCAACATCCCGCCCTGCCCTGCCCTGTAGGGCTCTCAGCCAGCAGGGCTCCCCTGCTCCCCAAACCCCGCACCCCCGGTCCCTGCCGCAGCCCACAATTCTGTCACCCGCCAGCCTCCCTGACCCCAGCACAGCGGCTGCCCAGCTGTCCAGCCACGCCCGAGCTGACCCCTGCTCAGGCCCTGCAGTGGGGCCTTCCTCCCGCCAGAAGCCCCCCACACCCTCACGTCCTCACAAGGCCCAGCCTGCCCCTCCTCCAGATGTCACCTCCTCCAGGGCCTTCCTGATGCCTCAGCCCGCTCTGTCTTCTTTGTATCATCGCACCATAGAAAAGCGCACATTGAGTCCGTCTCCTGGGGCTGCTGAAACACATTGCCACACACCAGTGGCTGAAAACAACGGGAATTTATTCTTTCGCAGTTGTAGAGGCCAGAAACCCTAAATCAAGGTGTCTTTGGGGCCACGCACCCTCTGAAGGCTCCAGGGGAGAATCTGTCTGTGTCTCTGACCTTCTGGTGGTGCCAGGGGTCCTTGGTGCTCTGTAGCGTGTAGATGCGTCACTCCAGTCTCCACCTCCAGCTCATTTGACTCCGTGCACGTGTGTCTCTGTGCCCAGACCTCCACTTCTTACAAGAATACCAGTCCCTGGGGTAGGGCCCACCCAACTACAGCATGACCTTCTTCTAGGAGGCCTCACAGGACTGAGTGTGCTCAGTACAATAATTGATGGATGGATGGATGAGTGGAAGGATGGGTGAGTGGATGGATGGATGGATGGATGGGTAGGCAGATGGATGGTTGGGTGAGTGGATGGATAGAATAGTAGATGGGTGGATGGGTAGATATATGAATGGATGAGTGGATGGATGGGTGAGTGGGCGGATGAATGGATGGGTGAGTGGGTGGGTGGATGGATGGGTGAGTGGATGGATAGATTAGTAGATGGGTGGATAGGTAGATATATGAATGGATGAGTGGATGGATGGGTGAGTGGGTGGGTGGATGGATGGGTGAGTGGATGGATAGATTAGTAGATGAGTGGATGGATGAGTGGATGGATGGATGGGTAGATATATGAATGGATGAGTAGATGGATGGGTGAATGGTTGGATGGGATAGATGAATGAGTGGATGGATGGATGGGTAGATGGATGAATGAATGGATGGATGGGTAGGTGGATGGATGAGTGGGTGGGTAGATGGTTGAGTGGGTGGATGCATGAGTGGGAAGATGGACTAGTAGACAGGTGGATGGATTAGTAGCTGGGTAGATAAATTGATGGATGGATGGATGGTATTACGGGCAAGTGTGAGAGAATCCACATTTTCTGTAGACACGTGATAGAATTTGGAGAGGAAACTAACTAAATGATGTTCATTGAAACCTAACTTCCTGTACCTTGAGAGCAAACAGGTTTATTGCCGTTTGTGAGAGAAATGTATTTTTTGTGCAAAGCCATGCGATGGCGGCGTACAGCATGAAACATCCCATTCCCAGTTCAAACATTCTGACTGTTGCTGCTCGCAGAGGAGAAGCCAAATCAAAACGTGCTGAACAAGCAGTTCTCTAGTGCGAGAGGCCCTTGTGGAATCTGGGAATGAAAGAATTCTAAATGCCCCGTTTCTTTAAGGCATGAATTGTAAAAAGATGTGGGAAGGTCCATTTCTACCAAGAACCCTAAAAACACCTTTTGTCAAGGGAACGCTCCCAGCGCGCCCAGCCAGCCTGCGCGCCGGCGGGCTTCCGGGTGGGAGTGCCCCTAGAGGTGCCTGCACTCTGGCCTCTCCAAGTGCAGTCACGCGGCACCCAGGGGAGACTCTGAGGTCCCCGCCGCGTGCCCGGGCCACGTCCCCAGGAAGCCCTGGTGCGTCCCATCCAGGCGCCAGACACCGAGCGACTGAGGTAAGTCCGGGGCTGCGGCAGGGGCGCGAGTCCAGGTCGGCCCTGGCCCGGGCGGCGGGGCTGCCGTGCGGCCGGTGGGCAGGGCGCACGCTCTGTGCGCTGTATGGGAGACAGCCAGCCCGAGACCCCCCGGAAGAAAGCGGCTTTGTCTCCCGGCCTGCGCGCACAGGCCCGTATTCATCTCTCCTTGTTGTTTGCAGGAGAGGCAGATGCGAGCCCGAACAATGGGGCCTCCTCTGGGGACACGGCGGTGACAGACTCCAAGCGCACAGCGGACCCAAAGAATGCCTGGCAGGACGCCCGCCCAGCTGACCCGGGGAGCCGCCCCCACTTGGTCCGCCTCTTTTCCCGAGATGCCCCGGGGAGGGAGGACAACACCTTCAAAGACAGGCCCTCGGAGTCCGACGAGCTCCAGACCATCCAAGAAGACAGTGCAGCCGCTCCCGAGGGCCTGGATGTGATGGCGTCACAGAAGAGACCCTCCCAGCGGCACGGATCCAAGTACCTGGCCACGGCGAGCACCGCGGACCATGCGCGGCACGGCTTCCTCCCGCGGCGCAGAGACACGGGCATTCTCGACTCCATCGGGCGCTTCTTTAGCAGCGACAGGGCCGCGCCCAAGCGGGGCTCGGGCAAGGTGAGCTCCGAGGAGTGAAGGCGCCTTAGGTTAGGGGAAACGGGACAGGACAATTCGGGAGGTGAACCGAGCCGCTAGAGGAAGAGCTGACACGTAGCCGCGTAGTGTCCGGGGTTGGGTCCTGGCCGGAAAGCCCACAGAGGCCCCGGGGCGTGGGCTGCGTGGCTGCCTAGGATGTTTCTGTTTAATGGCCCTCTTTGTCCTCCTCGCAAGGGACTGCGATCGGGGTGCGGCTCGGGGGTGCAGGGAATTCTGAATGCTGGACCTCTGGGTGTGCCCTGCACGTAGCAGCGCGGCTTGAGTGCCCGGGGGCTCTGCACAGAGTCTGCCCGTGCCCCTGCCTGCGGGTTCGGCACTGGGTCACGCTCACGGTTTCCTGGAGTCGCTGCTGCCGGCTTCGCACTGCCCTGCGACAATCGCGCGATTGAGGGCGAGGAGGACTTTAGAGCAAGCTCCTGAACTTGAATCCGCCCCCAGCAAACTTTCTTTTCTCTGAGCTGTCTGGTGCAAAGGGTGAAGGGAGGAACAAGTGCCGATGAATCAAAACCTTATTATTTTGTGATTCCGTGAATTTGAATATAGAATCTTGGAAGTTTCATTGTTTAAAAGCAGATGTTCTGTGGATAGAAATATATCACAGGAAAAAAAAAAAACAAAAGTGCTGTCCAGTCTGTAGCGGGCTCCTGGGGCTGACTGTGAGCAGGTGCCCCGTGCCTGCTGCTCCTTCGCGACCCGAGCCCCAGGTGGTTCGGATCGCAAACGGGACGATGGCACAGGGGGTTGTGGGGTGCTGGGTAATTAATTGGGTGGTTTTGGAGAGAGAGAAGTTTTTCCAAAAAAAGCCCCTGGTGTGCTGGGCGTTCTCGCAAAGCCTGTGGGATGCGGCTTTCCCGCAGCCCGTGCCCCGAGCTGCTCGGAATCTTGGGAATGTGAGAGGCTTTTGAAGGGCGTGTGGACAGAGCCCCTCATCATGTTAACGGGCCACCGTGGAACCCACGGGCACCTTGGAGCTGTGGTCTCCAACTGCAGTTATTCTTACAATTACGGATCATGAGACTGCTGAAGCCAAACGCAAATGTCAGGTCTGCCTTTCCCGTGGGCGTTAAAGCACCCTGGAATGTCGGGCAATCACCCATTGCTCCGTGGGGAGAGATCTCGCTGTGACTCCGTTGTGACTAACCTGTGAATGACACTTGGTGTATCTTAAGTGCTCACTGAATCCACATTCTGGTTGGCCCATCCGGTGTCTGCGTGGGTAGACGTTCCCCTTCACTCCTTGGCAACACTCCGCCACCCACCCCAAATGCCGGCCATCCGACCTACTTCTAACGCTCGTTTCACCTGGTAGCGCCTTTTCGAGCTGCCAAGCCACACCAGGTGTCTGTGGGTCCGGCCGCCTGGCAACGTCTCGCTGTCACGCTAACCTCCCCCTGCACGCAGGATCCTCAGTTTTGAAATCTTAAACTATCCTGCTCCATTCAAGGAGCGGCAAAAATGGATTTAAACTGTGCAGAAAAGATGCAATAGCTGGATAGCCTCTATGACAAAACAAGCTTCATTTCTGTGGTGATGGCTTAAGTTGAAATATAATGATGAAAGCATTTCTATCAATCATTGTGGCTTTATCTCAAAGTGGATGCATAAGCCCGTAGATGTTTTTCTTCCTTTATGTGAGATTACAGCCTTTATTGTTTTAAATAATATGCTTCAGTATTTTGCTTCAATATATATATGCTTCAATATTTTCAAAGAAAAGAATCTAGTCTCAGAAGTAGTCACTCTTCTTGGCAAAATAATGTTGCCAGATTGTCAGGGATTTAGAAAAATCAAAACATTTTCATAGGATTTCAAAAAATAAAAACAATTTTTAAATAATTGTTTTAAAATTTTTGAAGTTATCAGTCCTTTTCACTACTGAGTGTTAAATGCAAAAGATGTTTAAATACAGCTTGGCCCTTTGATGGCAAACCAGACGGTTAGTTTGCACGGATAAGCAGGTAGCAGCTTCTTACAGACGCGGGCTAGTGGCCCATCCGCGTGCGGGATCCTTGCTGAAGGTGTGCAGCGGGCACGAACCGCAACCTCTGTTCCGCTCCACTCTTTTATTGTGGAGTCCTTTGAACACTGGAGATGCAAACTTCACCTCCTCTGCACCCGGCTGCAAACCCACAACGGCCCTAGAAGCCTGGGGTGTTCCCTGGTATGGACTGCCGTGGGGTAATGCTTTATTTTAGGTTTCGCTCTGTCTCAAAGCCAGGAGGGCCTTCCTTTTCCTGTGCTAGAGAGGTCCTCAGGGTAGCCTTAAGAGACTGTTGGCGTGGAAGGGCGTTGCCAGGTCTGGTCCCCGTCCCTTGGCACGGGCAGCCCGCCCAGCCTGTGGGAAAGCCATCTAGATCGGGTTCGGTCTTTCCCGGCAGAATCCTGCCAGCCTCTGAAGGAGCCCCCCGCACCCCCACCCCAGGACCCCGTGAAAGGGGCTGTTTGTCCCGGTGCCTCCTCTGCTCTTCCTCAGTGCCCTGGGGACACATGCTGCCCAGGGGCCGCTGCCCGCCCCCGGTCCGCGGAATGCACCCGTGACCCCCACCCTCTGAGCTGACATTCAGGGAGAGCGCATTAGAAATCCCTTGAGGAGGCATATTCTTTTGAGGCCGCACATGAAAAGCGCATTCACGGGGAACATGCTCCTTCGTTGTGGGAGGAAAGAAAGGACTGTGTTGTCTTGGAGGAACAGGTCTTCCAGCCTCCGGGGCGCGGGGTCTCGGGAGGGCTGGTGGGCGGCGGGGCGGGGCTGGGCCTCGCTCCCCAGGCTCAGGCCTGCGTGGGCACCGACACCGGAGGCTGGGGCGCTGGCTTTGGGGGTCGCTCCCCTTGCTTGCAACCGAGAGGCAGTCGGGTTCGGCCGGGTACCCAGGCTGGACGCAGGGGCGCAACTCCCGGCCCGGCACCAGTAAGAAAGCAGTGGGGACGCGGCCACCTCCCATCTCCATGTGACACGCCTCCAAAGAGGTGTTTTGTCTTTAAACCTGGCTTCTATACGGATGATTTCCCCTGTTTTTCTCTATTTGTTTTTCACTAAAAGCTCCGTTTATAACCTGCTAATAATCTCAGCGTTGCGTCATTCGAAGACATTCAGTATTGCTTCTGTGCCACTCACTCATTCTGACTGGTGAGGGTGAGGACTGTCTCTTTCATCTAATGCCATGGGGTGTAACAGTCTTGTACATTAATCCAAATGTTCTGTCGCCTGATTTTCTTTTTCCATTGCATTTTAATTACATTAAACACGTTGTAGTTCTACGGGAACTTAATTCTTCATTGTTAACCCTAATTCTGTAGCAATGTTCTGTCGTCCCATGGGAAGGGCACAGCAGGGAGCGAGCCCGAGGGTGTGGCCCACAGTCCGGCAGCGCCGGGAGCCCCTCCCCTGGGCTGGCGCTCACAGGGCCACACGGCGGAGCCTGACCGTGCACCCACGTGGAAGTGGGTTTGGCCATTCGCTGCATCCCTTTGGCCAGAGATCCGGCTGGGGAACATCCAACAGAGTGGGTGCATGCATTTCTGCACCAAATGAATATTTTTTGAGATTCCTTACAGGAACTCCTGACCGGCTGGTGACCAGAGGCTTCTCTGGCTCCACCGCCAGCCCCTCCTGTGCCCTTCTGTGGCCCCAGCACCGTCACGGCCACCCACGGGTGTTTGAGTAGACGACAGTCACATTACGGTCACGCTAGAACTCGATGTGCCTGTACTGCCGCAGCTTTGCCGCGCCCTCTGTACAAGGGATACGTTTGTAAATCATGTGTATGTATTTAATGATAATTGCCTCTGGTGGTTGTATTGCTGTTTCATTTTTGTTACGAACTTCTGCTTTATATATATTTCTGCCCTTTCATGCATCCATTAAACCGTTTAACAGACCAAGGGTGGTGTACTAATTAATTGGACGTGCACTTTTTTTGACTTGTCTTGTCTGGTTGTCCTGCCTGAGCGAGTGTGCCGTGTTACTGGCGTTTCTGTGGCCTTGTGGCACAGCTAGCAGGTAAGTCTGGGCACCTGGGCACCCGGGCATCTCCGCACGCGAAGGTCACGGTCCCTCGCTCATCTGCTTTTATCCACAAGGACGTTTCGTTCTTTTCTCTGCATTGACGGTCGGGTATCCTGGTCTTTCTGCTCTGACTGTTCTCGTTCTGCTTGGTGTGGCTCACGCTTCTCCCATGCATGTTGGGGGGAGGGGAGGCTGAGCAGCCCCCGCTGCCCCAGGTGCCGTCTTGGACGCGCCACGAACACGCACCGAATGGACCGGCACACGGATGGCCGCCCCTCCCCCCACCCCACCCCGGCCTCCCCCGGTGAGGACATGCACGAAGGTGGCACAGGAACCCCGGGAAGCTGGAACTCGAGGGCGGGACCTTCCAGGGCAGGGGGAGGGGGTGAGGCCAGGGCGGACTCGAGGCCGTTGCGATCATCCGGGAATGGGAGCAGGGGCGCGGGCTGACTTCACTTTGGCGAGTCCCGCCCGGCGCCCGGCGCATGTCCCACCGGCGGGCTCCTCCTGCCTCCTCCCTCTCGAGCTCATTTCCATTCAGGGCCTTTATTCCCTCGTCACTGATTTTCCTTTTGCAAAAACTGATTAGCCATTTGGCAACAGGCGGTTCCAGCCGGCCGGCGGAGCGGCTGGCTTGGCAGCGGGCGGGCGGTGTGGTCAGCGGCACCACACACGTGCCGCTCACGTGGCAGTCGCCGAGGCCTTGCTTGGTGTCCAGAACTATGGAAACCCCCGTCACAGTCTTCCCCATCAGGCCCGTCACCACACTCTCAATGCTCTGGGATCGTCCCGCTTCATAACAAAATAGTGAAAAGGAAAAGAGCTAAAGAAACGTGAACCCCCTGAGGGCGCCCCACAGAAGGGGGCTTCACACGCGGTTTCTCGGGACGGGCTGCTCCTGCCCCTCGCCCTCTCGCTGGCTGCAGCCTCCTCGCCGGCGTGCTCGTCCCCCAGTTCTTCTGCTGAGGACGCTCCACTCTCCCGGTCAGGCACGAGGACTGGAAGCTCGCTCTGCAGACCGCCCCGGTGGAAACAAGGCTTGTCCCCTCCTCTCCTGAGCCTGGGAGGCCAGGGGTACTGGTGGCATCTCCCGCAGACCACCCAGGGGACGCCTGTGTCCACCCCAGCCGTCCTCCCCCGCCCCCCCCCCGACAGCTGTGCCGGGAGGGGGCGCGACACCGGCCCCCGGGGCTGAGTGCAGAGGTCTCGGTGGCGAGCCCCTTCTTCACTCATTAAATAGGTGGAGAGCCCATAGGAAGTCCTTCTTTGCCTGTGGACCTCGGTCTGCAGCATGGACTTGCCCACAGGACACCAGTTGAGGGGACGGCCCAGCCCTGCCACGGCAGCAGCCACCCCAGGCCCGTCCCCCAAGACCTGCTCTAGAACGGACACTCAATTTTCTCGCTCTTGCAAGAACTCAGGGCCATGAATTAAAGTCACCAGTAATTCTTGCTAGGGTAGAAATAAATCGCCTCCCTCGTGCGGGAGGATCAGTGATGAGATGGACAGGTTCCACACAGAGCCGGCCCTGGAACCCGGCGAGCTCACTTCCCCAACACGCCCGGAAACGCGCTAACACGCGTGTGCCAGAACACGCACGCCCCGCTGCTGACCTGCTGAGAAAGAATCCACTTCCCTGCGGCTAATACAAGGCATCTCCTGAAACCTAGTGCGTCGATTCTGTAGCTTGGCAACTGCAAGCTTCTCTCTCTGTCTCTGTCTCTCTGTCTCTGTCTCTCACTGTCTCTGTCTCTCACTGTCTCTGTCTCTGTCTCTCCCTCTCCTGCTTCTTCCTTCTCTGATTTGCTGTGACATCAGAACCAGGCACTCCCTGCAGACCGTTTACCTTGGTCCTGTGGTCAGAGTCTTTCAGCCCCCTTGTTCAGAGCTCACTGCTCCAGCAAATTCGCTCACACAACTAAGAGAATGGGGAGCGCGCTCGGTCGGGAGCAGACGCCATGCAGGGAGGCTCGCAGGGACGGAGTCGAGGTGACTGCCCAGCTCCTGTCAAGGAACATTAAGTTCCTGCTTACGCTACATTCTGAAACTTCACCGATGATAACCAGGACAAACGGCCGCACGAATATGCGACCCCAAGTGGCCGGGGCCGCTTTGAACTCCGCTGTTCCCCAAGCCACAGCCCCCTACTCTGCAGGGAACTCGGAAGGGCCCGTCCCCGGGCAAACTCACCCCCGCAGGGCAGGAGTGATTTCTGCCTGTAAATCCAATGCGGAAGCTCACACGCATGCTATGGAAGGAAAAGATAGTAAAACTCCACAGATAAAATCAAAGGTGACACGCACCCATTGCACCGCAGACCTCACAAGGCCATTTTATCGCACTTGCCCCGGACCAGGAAACGCCCCGGCCACCTGCTGCCTCGGCGCCCTTCCTGCCGGGCGCTGCCATGGCACGGATCGTGCTTGGCGCAGCGCGGCGCAGGGCCCCAGAGCGGGCTCTGGGAAAAAGGCTTTCTTCCCTGACTCTTTCCTTCTGTCCTTTTCCCTGTGTGCGTGCCCTGCCCCCACCCCCGCCCCGCTGGCCCGCGCACCACCTGCCTGCGCGGCCGTGGGGGGCACCCTCTAACCCTCACCCCGCTGGCTCGCTCCTCCCCTCCCGGGTCTCACCAGCGCGCAGGAGGAGGTTTGCTGGGGGACGTGGGGCCCGGCGGCCGCCCGCCTCACGCCGCGCGCTCTGTGTCCCTGGCAGGTACCCTGGCTAAAGCAGAGCCGGAGCCCTCTGGCCTCGCAGGCCCGCAGCCGGCCCGGGCTGTGCAACCTGTACAAGGTAAGTCGCTGGCGACGCTCTGTCGGGCCACGAGCCACCCCAGCTCACCTGGGCGCCCAGCTCCCTGGGGGCCTCCGGACGCTGGCCCTCTGCTCCGCCAGGCAGGGCCCGAGGCGCTGGGAGGTCCCATAGCATTTGCGAGTGAGGCAGGAAGTGAGCCCGGGAGACGGCGAGCCCAGGTGGCCTGGGAGCATCCGCCTCGGAGCCCATGGCGGGGACCCTGGGCTGGGCGCGCTGTCTGGTCAGGAGAACGGGCCACCCCGTGGGGTCTCGGCGTGGTGACGGGTCTGCGCCCTTTGCCAAGGCCAGGCACTGCCCCTGGCGGCACCACAGCCCACAGGCAGGGGCGGACGCTGGTCCTGGGGGCTTGGTCTGACCCTGGCCACAAGCACGTCTGTGCCCAAGTCTGCAGGGGAACGGCGCTCACTAAACGTTAGCCGTCTAAGCTCTGAGACGAGCTTCCCCCGGGAAGTCTGGTCCCTCGGGCCTGTCCTCAGCGAGCCCGGCCGAGCGGCCTGCAGGTGCAGGGCTGGCAGCAGGGGCCTGGCGCCACGGGGAAGGGGAAGGCCCCATGCTGGAACCCCCAGGAGGAGCCCTGCTGCCCGCCGTGCCACGGGCACCGCACACGCCCGTCTACTGGTCACGTTCCAGACCACAGCAGTCCCTTGGCACCTGGCTTGTCACCTGGGAACATGCAAGAGGTTGAACACTCGTGCTGCTACCCAGACGTGCTCGGCTGGGCACCCAGGGTGCGGGGAGTGCCAGAGGAGTCCTGGTGGAACCTTCCTCCCCAGCAGTGCCCAGGCCAGCGGCCCGCTGAGCCAGAGGGAGGCGGGGGGAGCCTGCAGCCAGCAAGGCCTGGGAGCCCCGGGGGAGCAGCGGCTGCGACGTGGCTGGTGGCTGCGTGCTTAGAGTCCGCCAGTGCCCTCGTGTGCTGGCCGTGCCCTCACGGGCAGGTGAGGACCAGGAGGAGTGCAGGGCGTCCTTCTGGTCTCGGGGGTGGCCGGTCCTGGGCAGAGGCTGGAGGGCGGCCAGGCAAGCCCAGGCCTGGGCACCTGAGGGCCAGGGGAGCCCTGCGGCCAGCAGGGAGCTTGTGTTTAGCTTGAACCGTGTCTCGGTGCTCAGTGGCTCCTGGTGCTCAGCTTCCAAGGGTCCCTGTCCCTGCGGGCGGCTCACAGGCCAGGCCGGGCGGCCACCTGGGCTTCCTGGGATTGGGCGGGGCTGCACCCACCGCTGCTCCCGGGCGGAGCGGCCATACGGGGCGATGCAGCGGTGGCTCCACAGCGGGGTTGCAATTGGAGCGCAGAGGGCGGACCCGGCGCCCGCGTGGAGACCTTCACCCGGGTCGCCCTGGACGCCTCCCCGCCCGGCTCCTCCCCCGTGTGGGGCGAGCTGCTGCCACAGAGCATGCGTCCCAGAGAGAAAGCCCCGGACGCGGAACAGAGCGGCCGGGAGATCAAGCTCTCCGCCGCGTCCAGACACGGGCAAGGCACTGTCGGCAGAGTATGTGATTTTTCTCTTTCAAAAAATTATTTAGCAGAGGAAAACCAGACCTTCTGTTCTCCGCAGCCTCATCCCAGACAGATTTTTGCACAGACACCCAAAATGTGACCAAAAATAAATAAATACGCTGCAGAAAGCCATCGGTGCGTGGCCGCCTTGGCCTTGCGCCCCGGGTCGTTGAAAGCGAGGGAGTTTAACAGGAGGCTCTTTGCACCTGTCCCGTGTGCGTTCCTGGGGCCCCTCTGGTCTGAGCAGACCTGGCTGCGCTTGCACAAGCTCACGGACAGAGTAGAACAGGGAGAGGGACTGGATGCTTGTGCGTGTATGTGTGTGCGTGTGCGCATGTGTATGTGTGCATGTGTATGTGTGCATGTGTATATGTGTGTATGTGCATGTGTGCACGAATGTGTGCCTGTGCCTGTGTGTGCATGTGTATATGTGTATGTGTGCACGTGTGTGTATGTGTATATGTGTGCGTGTATGTGCATGTGTGCCTGTGCCTGTGTGTGCATGTTTATGTGCATATGTGTGCACATGTGTGCGTGTATGTGCATGTGTGCGTGTGTATGTGTGCATGTGTGTG